CTTTTCGTACCTACTAGATACGGGTCATTAATCTTCTGATTAAAAAATTACTTTGTTTTTTTACATGCATACATATATTATGTGGAATTTAGTGTCTAAATAGTAAACTGTAATAATCAACACTTATTGTTTATTCATCAGTATATAATAATATGCGTTCGCTAATTAATTCATAAAATACATTTTTTTCGTAGACTTTTTTAGCCAAGTAGGTTGAAACAATCTTAATTTTGCATAACGGGTTCCTCGTGAGTTGGGTGCAATGTTATAAGTATAAAAACATTTATAGACGTTGTTTTTTTTATTTTTGTTTTTTTATTGTATATATACGAGTTTATTTTTATTACTTGATTTTACCTGTCCACGTTTATAAACGTCAATTTTTCAACGGTATGACATGTACGGCTAGTGGCATACCATTAAAATCCCTTAGTCGTTAATATCGACTACGAGACTACAATATATGGACTTTAAAAATCGTGCATTTTAAATTATTATTTTGCATATTTATGTTACGAACAAACATCGTGTGCACATATTATGTCATGTAATTTGATGACCGACTACAGTATTTAAACGATAATGTAAATTAATCATTATCGCGAAAGCAGTTTTTTTCTATTTTTAAATTTTTGTATCCTTGAACAGAATGAGGTTTTCTTAAGAACTTTAATGTTTTAATTTGTTTCAAGATGGAATTTATAGCAATATAGTTAAATAAATGTGGTTTTTCAATAATGTGTGTTTTAATTTATAAATGCATTAAGATTTAAAAAATGCGTGTATCTCGTTGGGGCTAGGTAAATTGGGCAATTGGATCCACGATATTTTATGTACATTTTGAAAGCGGTAAATTGAGTCCCGAGAAAAAAAAGATATTAGGTAAGTTGGTTTCTGGGAAAAAAAAGATAGTAGGTAAATTGAGTCCCAACTACTAACTATACTAACTCGCCGTAATCATTTTACAAATGACAATTCACACTTTTTCTATCGGTTATCGATTCCATTGTGATCAAATAACTTCGTAACATCGTAACTTTGATTGTGTCTAATTAAGATACGTATATAGGCATATACGTACATTAGTTTGTCGTATATAATGTGTCAGTTATCAGTTAACATCAATATTGATGATAGTTCTTATGATTATACACAGACACGAGTGTACAAAGTCTGAGCATTTTCAGTATATTTTTCGTAGCGTGCATTGCGTATTGTACGTCGATTTGAGTTTGTTAAATTCGTATCTTTTAAGTTTTTACCGAAAATGTAATAAAAAACACAATAATATTAAAATTGATTCCTAATAAAAGTTATTAGATATTTAAAAAAAAAATTGTTTACCTTGGACTTAAGTTACTATCTTTTTTTCCCCAGGACCTAACTTACCTACTACTTTTTTTTTCCTGGGTCCCAATTTACCGTGAAAAGGTTATTTAGGACCCAATTTACCAACTCCCATCTCGTTGTTGTTGCAATCAGTGTATTTGGTATTAATAATAAAATATGCATTGCTATTTTGGTTTTGAAATTGAGTCAGTGGCACACATACTCTTATGTCTTTATCGAGTTTAACATTAACAATAAACTACGTTTAGACTATTATAGAAAAAATTTAAGAATATTTAAATATTTGATGAAATACGTTTTAATACCTTCATATAATATTATTTATCATCCAAATTCAACAATATAATTTTTCAAAAAATTTAATATAGGACACAGAGAATAGTAATTTTAATGAATCCAACCAAAGAGTAATTGAAATATCAATAAAAATGCAAGTAATCTTCCATTCTACACACATTTAAACGTATTAAAACGTGTATTAAATATTAAATACGATACGTATTAAACGTATCGAGGGCTATAATTTTACTGCAAAGAACTAAGTACCCGGTGTAAAAATTAAACACACACTATACCTAAAAATAAAATAAACATGTATATAATATGCATAGGTACCGAACAGTGTTCGCCTTTAAGATCTCTTAACCATATATCCACGATGACTACTAAAACGTAACACTTTTGATATTTTTATGGATCGATATTTGTTTAACCTCTTTATACAATGTTTACTTTGAATACTGTTATATTGTTTTCAAATTATCATGTTTGTTCATAGATAGATCACGCAACAGTCTACGCAAAAACGTTTTCAGTACACGAAAATGTTTTGATATATTCATTCTGATGTTAAAATTAATGCCTTAACTAGTTTTCGAATTTCTTTTCAAGATTAATGCAGTGCTTAATGGTCTTTATAGTCTCAGCATCCAATACATCATGTATCACGAACGGTTTGATGCTGAACGCTGTTATAATGAACATAAATATCCCGTGTAGCTATAGGCTAATATCATAATAGATGGGGCAGAAAAATGGTAATCGAAGTTACCGACGAATCTAAAACAATTAGATACTCTAAAAAACACTACCACTGGTACACAAATAGTGAATCCAGTCATTGCTGCTGTACGTATTCCATCTTTGTTGTTCGTTTCTATTTATTTGTTATCAATTATATTACAAATACATTTTGAACATGATCTGATCACATACTATGTTTTGTAATATGATATTCAATTTAAATCGTCTTATATATGAAGGCCTAGACCTAAAATAAAATTATACGAACGAATCTATCGTCATTAAGCGATGTGTATACAGTGTCGTTACCACACCAACAAACAACCGAACACCGTACCCACGGGATATTAAAATTAATTATGTTTGACGATCAGACCAAAACGGTCGTCCGGGATATTCTACGGAAAGTAAACGTCTTCCAGCGAGACGGACAAAACCCAATAACACCGTCATATTTGAAGTGCCCAGTCGTAATTATTAATAATCTGAACACGTTTAGTTTCCGTACACATATTAAAATTGTAGGAGCCATGATACTTCGTACTTCTAAACCAAAACCGTCACGATTCAAAATCTATAGTTTTGAGAAAAATCTAATTTCAAATTGACACCAAGATATTATTGTTAAGGTTTTTTATCAACGTGCATTTAAAACTCAAATATTAAATATTACGTCTTGTGAAATTTTAAAATTTTCTAACTGAACGAAAAATTTCCTTATTTTAAGTTATTTCATGTATTGCACCTACATATTGCTTTCATGAATGCCATAATATACTGATATATCAAATTGTATATCATTCAATTTAATCCTACGTAAGATATACACAACTTATAAAACACAAGACTGCTATGTTAAGAAGCCTAATGTAGCTGTTTTGCATTCAATACGTTACATCGTAATCGACGTAAAAACATCACAAATCTAAATATAACGGTCTTGCATCTTGACTCGAGTAATTCTTAAGATAAATTAAAAATACAACCGTAAATTAAATATTTGAGACTGGGTTGCTTTAGCAGTTGGTGATCAACTAAAAAATTCAATACCGAACCAAATTTTCGTTGGCTAAATGAAAAATTGTTTGATAAGGTGTTCTCGTATTGTACAAAATTCAATCCTGATCACCTAAAAATAATAACATCTTAAATATGACAAATTTTTAATTTTGGCAGTTTTATAGTTCTATATATGTATGCGAATCATACTTACTATCTCTTACTTTTATGCACTATATATTATTGTTATTACTTTCATTGCAACAATGTGTTTTTAACAGTTCACTTGCCATAATTGGAAAACAACGAAATTACCACACGACCGATAGACCATCATTAGTCAGGATAGTATCCTCACGATAGTCGAGGACCTACATACATTTTGGGAATCACATAGAATACGGTTTATATATGCCCCGCTTATATTCGAATAAAAGACAATGGTCTGCGTTTCGGACGAACTAGTCAATATAATAATATTATGTTCACCAACACACGTGCTCACGCATACTCGAATTCACCAGTTGCTGGGTCGGAGCGATCCATCATTTGCAGTGAAACTCATTATAAAATGTTATTATTGTTATTATATAGTTTGCCCGTGACGGGTTAATAGAAGGGAAAATGGTCGAGTAAAGGTTTCGTATACGCGCGTTCTATTAGTTAAAATGCCGACGTACTTTTTATCAGTCCAAATCAACCATTTTCTACACTCAGGAGAAATATATAATAAATTACATCGTAATATCCTACATAACCTATTATATAAGTATACAAAACTATAAGTAGCTATAAGTATAAAAATGTAACTTTAAATGAAGCCAAAAAATGCTATCTTTTTTAGAACACTGTTAACAGCATATTATAATGCCGACTCGTTTTGATGTTATCATTATGAATACTTGATTTATACTAATTATTAATGTAAAAGCGCACCATAAAAATAAATATTAATTTTATGCGTATGAAAAAACACACATTATGGCACTACTGTACTAGTTATGAATTCCATCCTATGGCAATGAAACGCTATTGTAATGTTTATAAAAAATATTATACTATGTTCTCTGCGAACAAATAATATTCATTATTCTAACAATGTATCGACATCAACAAATGAAAATATACTTTTAAGTATGTTTTAGTCAATACAATTGTTTAATGGTTAGTAATATTTTTTACTAGAACAACACCTTAACTATAATTAGTTCAATTTTGTTATATTTATGTTTTAATGATCATATTTAATATACCATAAATTTCATATAATACGTTTAAGTGTGGAAAACGAGCATTTTCATAAATTTAATTATTGGTGACAAATAATCGTTTAATTCAATTATTCAATTTCAATAGACATTGTAAGCATAAAAGGACAGAATAAGGAAATTTATCTTATTGGTGCTGTGATAGTACCTACAATCGTTTATACTTACAATGTTTGATATGTTTACAGTGTAAGAAATAATTCACTGGAAACAACGTGTTAAAATTACTTATAAGAATATTTTATTTTGAAATTAATACTATAGTAACATTTTTATTAAAATCATAAAATATTTTTCTTCAATATCGCTTAAATTATGTTCTAACAACATCAATGATAATGTAATATGTTATTGTTTTAGAGTTATGGCATTCGTACAAAAAGCTGTCGCACGTCTATACGAGCCTGATAAACTGGAAACTCTGTTAAGAGACTTGGGCAAGAAGCACTATCATTATGGCGCCAAACAAAAATACGTTGACGTATGTATAATCAATTGAAATTTTATTTCAATGTTAATTTAAAATTGTTCAACTAATTTAATTTAATTGAACAATAATTTTTCTTTTTACACCACATTAAACGCACTGCAATACCTCATACCATCCATTTTGTCGATTTATACGTCATTAATTCCCAATTAGGTAATTTTCGGTACTCTTGTTCTTTCGTAATTTTATCGTAATTGTCTAAATTATTTTATTTTAATTAATATTAAAATTTTATATAGCAACCAAATTTGGAACGGTCTTTTATTTTAATAAACTTTGCTGTTTTTATAAATAGTGGGAATACGAAGAGTAAAATCTACGTCACCCAAAAATACTCGTATTTATTTTATTGTTGGAAATAAAAGTAAATATTTGAGCATTCTAAAATTCTCATAAATGTCTGAAATTTTGTATATGAAATTGAAGGGATATGAGAAAAATCGAAAATAGTCATAAGAAGAAAAAAAATCTGAAAAATATATAATTTTGTCATTTGTTTGAAAAAGTTAATTCTTTTATCTATTCGTTTTATTAAAAATAAGTTGTATTAACAAAATTAATATTTTAAACAGACTTGTACCTTATACCTGAGTTTATTGAGTTCAGAAACTTTAAAACTGCAATACTAAACAGTTTAAGAATAATTGATTATTATCATTTTTCCTCGTAACACTAAAATTATATTACACGATGCAAATAATTCCTAAATAATTTTTAATCTTACTATATTCTTATAATTTATTTTATATATTATTTTCTTCATTTAATCTTAAACTTTAATACATATTATAAATTATTGGTCATTTAGTGGCCTCATTTTTTAGTACTACATAACATTACAATGATCCCAATTTTCTAATTTATTAAGGCTGTATATAACAATAAACATAATTAATTAAAATAATTATTTTAAATGTCTGTGTGATGATCCGCTCTATATAATGTTAATCACTGATGTCTATTTTAATTATTTTATGATATCCCCCATTCCACCCATTGCACTTAAACTTTTTAACAAACTCAGCTTAAATATAGGCATATACCTTGGTGACAAAATATATATAAAACCATTTTTCTTGTATTTTATGGATAATTATACAACACATCGACGAACAAATGTAATATTGTACAATTAATTCATCATCGCGTTTTATACGCACAACTTGAGAGATAAAACATATATTCCTTGAACAATTACAACTTTATATGAAGTACCTTTACCCCTTTTTTTTCTTGATATTTGTATCTGTATTTGTGTGTGTATATGTTTACACGTATACAAATACATATGCGCGCGAGCAATATTTTATTATTAATTCTAAATAAATATTGTAGTTTGTGTCAAAGTTGCGATCACCCGGGTGAGAAATTCGAAAAAAATCGCAGTTTCCAGCAACTGTAAATAACGACTAACCTTTACTTTGTCTTCATTTAACAACCCTTCCCCCTGCAGCTGCCTTTTAGTACATTATAAATTTACCAAAGCGAGCATATTCGCTTGTTTCCCGTGCAAAGACGATTGTGTTCATATCACAAGGAGATATAAAGTAATACCCTCTCGGTATACAGTTTTCTGAGCTGACACAATAACGTTTTCTGCAAACATTATGCACCGCGAAACCAATATCTAGTTCTACATACATTTCATTATTTGATACGGCGTTTGTAAAAGAAACCCTCTGGAGCGTATGCACGTCATATTGCGACAAATGCATATTATATTTTGAATAAATATTTTCATAAATATAATTTATTAAAATTTAGTAGGTATTTATTTATTTTGCTGAATGCATAAATAATGTATATTATGTATTAATATAATAGTAGTCACAAACACTGTGTAACAAGTTTTGATCATATATAAGATCCCTATATTAATGAAGCGAGAATCTATTATACGATGTATATCTCAATATGCCTCATAATAATATAATAATCTTTAGAATTGACAAGAAAATTTTAGAAACATTTCAAGAATAACAACTAGGAGTGATTAAATAGAAAATTTGGTAGAAATCTGATTCCAACACTCTCATCGGATTGGAATAATTCCTAACTATAATTCTTATTATTCTATGTATATATATATATATATATCACATGATTTGTACAGTATTTTTTTTTTTTAAAAAAAATGAGATTCCAGTCAAATTATAAATTATACGTTGATTGCAAAATACTTTGTAGACATTGTTTTTAGAATTTTTGAGTTATCCATAAAATGGACATTTTGACACAGTGCAAACAAAACAATTTCTCTTATCTGATGTTTGGATAATTCAAGAACTCAATAATTATACCTATAATATAAAAAAAATAAATATTGTCATCATAATTGTAGTAGTTTTAACTCTAAAAGTAAGTTTGTGTGTTCTATAAGTAAGTATTATTTGTTCAAAAGAAGCTTTATCGATGTACTAAAAAAATAGTTGAATACAAAAGACATTTATGATATTTGAACTTCATTTTTATACCCTGTAATGCAATGCTTGGTCGTTTCCTTTGCTATTTTATTTCATTTTCTATAGTCATATTAAATGTATTGTTAGAAATATTTTGAATAGTTTGAGTTGGGTTTTCTGCATATGTTATTTATTCATCGAGTTCACGTTAGGTTGTTCATTTTTTCATTATTCAAAGTTGTTTAATAACTGTTCAATTCTTCAGTTTGAAGTCGACTATTTTATTCTCCATCGGAAAATTCTAACTAAAAAATATTACTGTCTCCAAACAAGTTTAAAAGATATTTTTTTTTCGTAATTTTTTGGCCATAATAAGAAATAATCTTTCATTTAACTATTAATTATATTATGATAATATAATGAATGAAAATCCATCTTGTTACAACGATTGATTTTTAATACCATTTTCAATATGCTTTATAGTTAATATTTTAGTTCACTTATTGAGTTAGCGTACACATTTGGAGAGCTAAAGTTCAAAACAAATATACTTTTCAAGATTTATATTCATTTTAATCGGAATTCAGTTTGGCTATAGTGTAAATTGCAGACAATTTGTGGAAAGTAAAGTCAAAACGGATTCAATTTCATACGAAGCATAAAAAATGATGCCGAAAAAACAATATCAACATTTGTAAATGATGTTTTGATTGAATTATAGTATTTAATTGAAAACGTTTATTTTACTATCTTAAAAATAAAGTTTACCAAATAATATGTTTTCAAATTAAATGGTTTCAATGATATTTATTGTTCATATTTACTTTCTCATCATTTTATTATTCAGTATCTTATTCTAGTAACGATAAAAAAAAAGTCACTGAGCGACATGTAATTAACGCATAAATAATATATGTGTAATTTAAATAACGTGCTATTCAATTCAAATTTTATCAGAGACGAAATAACTTATCATGTATAAAACCATAGAATATTGGGAGTAACCGAATTGGTTCACATTTGGACGAATTGGTTCCCGTTTGTGTAAAATAGTGAAAATAGGTAAAATAGTGACAATTTTAATTTTTAACAAAATTTACCTACACTATTAAAAATTAAAGTCCAGCGGACCAGTGCATAGAAAGAAAAAACAAAATTTTAAAATCTATACGTATGACATACAGAAACAATTATTATATCTATAAGATAGAATATAGAAATTTAATAGACTATAGATTACTATAGTATCTCTATAGAGACTAGAAAATTACTAGCAAACAGGAAAAAAATAACAGATACTTGAAAAATTGTATAACTACATTAATTTATACATTGTATGACTACATTAATGAGAAGATTATGAGAATTAAATATTTAAAGAAATTTAGCAGATTATTCAATATTATCGGTAATTTATTGATTTGTTTAGGTATGTTAATACAATTTCCCAATCTTAAATGTTTGGCTAAATAATTTTTGATTATTCATTCTTAAATAGCTAATATTGTAATGGATAATATGTAATTTATAGAATATGTAATTTGATTGTAATGGAAATACTCAAATTAATGCATCTATAATTATTTGAGATAGAAAATAAATTTTCTTTTCACCGTAAAACTGTCTTAGAATATGAATGCCATTTTTGTATCGATTATCGGTTTAAAATTTTTTTTCAATAGCCGATTAGTGTAAAAATAAATATCAAACATAGTTTCTGAACTACTAAACATAATATACACACAGTATGAACATTGATTATCCTTCTATTGGGTACGAATGGGGGAGGTGTCAATATTTTATGTAAATACTAAATTAACTGAAGCCATAACGTGTAGCACTATCAACATATTATCAATACATTGTTCAAGTAAAAATATTTTTGAGACCATCAATAATTGAAAATAATATAGTTTCAAACAAAAAATAAACAAATAACTTATTTCAAACAAATCAATTGGGAAAATACTTAAAACATTTTTTTATCTATATTAAATTAAGTTTATTTTTAATGGTTTTTCTGTGATCCCCATAAATTAATCTTCCTTTATTGTATTATGTACAAAAAATGTCATCGTATGTTTTAATGTTTCAATATTATGACGACATTTCTTCACAATACTTCTAATATTTTTATTCGAATAAACTGAAAAAAAGGACATTTTAATTTAACCAACGTGGTAAATTTAACAAACGTTTCAACCAAATATCTAATATTCGTATTGAAATGTGATACCGCTGTAACCGAATCACGATCGACTAATTAAAACAATAAAGTTGAACCAATCTGACGTCTTCAAGTGAATTAATATTAAAAAATAATTATTCATTAAATGATTAAGTCTAAAATTTAAGCCAATATTTGTACCAAATTTCTCATTTGAGACCGATTTTTTTAAATAATTTAGATAGTTTAAATGGTAATGCTTCGGTACCGTGATCATTTCAAAATTTGTTCTATTTGTTCCGTATTATCGACCTTAAATTAAATTATCTTCAAGTCACTCACGGAACACTGAGCATTTCTAACTGAGAAAGCAAATGAAGCGACGGTACGAAAAAGGACTTACAAATTGTAACGGGTGTAATTACTACCCGCTCGTTCGTCCACGCACGCACAGCACGCGAGCATGCGAATATAGACGTTTCTTGGTCACTTGACAAACTTTATCCTTTTGTTTCACAAACGATACTTGAAAACAACCCTCTCAGCGGACAACAATATTCGCGTACACTCAAACACACCATGGGTCTTCACGCAGTATTATTGAGCGTACGGATAACTGCGATTGGGTTCCCGAACACTGATCTATAAATATAACACGAAATGGTTAGCAGATACGAATTGGACATGGAACTCTCTTTGATTGAAAACGTTGTTATTCGGTGTATATACAAATATAAACTAAATAATACAAAATTAATTATCTGATCGGATTAATAGAAACTTCATATAAATCCCTCAAAAAACAAACACATTCGATGGTGTACACATTTTTCATTTTGAATTAATAAAAATCACACTTTATAAAATGACACATCAATAACTTTTTTAATATTATATTATTGAATATACATCAAGTTCTATATTTGCTGTACCACAATTATATATGCCAATTTATTTATAAAACCAATAACAAAAAGTATAATATTTTGCAAGCCTATTGCCATATTTTTAATCATACATAGATATTCTAGACAACCCTATAATTCTGAAAACATGGATAGGAAATCGATGTAAATGTATGATCTTGGCAGAAATTATCGATAAATTAGAATAGTTGTATGTACGTGAAAGTAATTTTTATGCAAACATATCCATAATGTATTTTTGACCTCGAAGCCGATTTAGTGTCTGCTATTGCTGCGCAAACTTTAATATATTTTTCGGGTTGTAAACTGCTATTGGTGACCGTTGGTTTAATGAGCATTGAAAGCAGAGGCGGAAAAGGGATAAAAAGGATAAAAAAAATTGTACTCCCGGGGCCAACGATTAATCGATACGAAATAAATGGCTGTTAATATCGAATCCGTGTAGCAGTATGCTCGGTAAGGATCGATCCGGTTGGTGAAGAAAAAAACTGGCTTGCATTTTTTACCCCGTTCTTGACATGTATTCGTTTATTATTATTATTTTTTTTTTTCACAAATACATCGTTGCCGACGAACAACTTGTCTGGCGTTTTTAATTAAACACTACAATACCTATAAAATAGTGGGCCAAAATAGTAATGCGTGATTCGGACGAAAATCGTGAGCAGTTCGATAGTTTTTAATACTATTCGCATGAAATCACCTAGCATACACGCGTCCATTTATACGGACAGCGGTTTGTCCTTTTCACGAACATAATACGCGCCATGCGAGTTTGGAGCCATTAACCGGTATACAAATTAAATGTCAACGTTTCTGTCCGTAGGTTAGAACTGAATCGCTCTTCAGAATATAGTGCGTTCAAAATGTTTGAAAACTTTTTGCACATATACATATATTCAAATATTTTAAATTATGGCTAAACCATATTAAACGCAACACTAAACTTTTTAAACCCCTCGTGTTTTCGGATTTGTTCGTCACAGGCAACGTATAAAATGTACGATTACTTGTGGTTTATTATTATTTATATAAAAATTTTACCGGCAATATCATAATGTAATATATAATATTACGTCTCCGGTCTAGTCACAAGAATACATAAATTAACGAATTGCATACTAGAAAATGTTTTATTTGTTCTATGTTCGTAATCCGTGCTCACAAAATTAAATGAACGTACGATAAAAACAAAAATACAAAACTCACTCATTTAATAAAAATGAATATGCGGTGATACGTATAATCAGTGACGTATTTGGGGGGAGGGTCCTGGATCTCAATCCGAAGAAAAATAAAAGTTCGAAATTCTTAAATCACTTGCTAAGAAGGTACAGAGAAAGCCAGCAATTTATATAATGTATTTTTAAGTAACTCTTCATTTAAATTTATAGTAATATTAGAATTATTAGTTCATACCTTATATTTATTTTTTGTATTATTATAAAACAACTTATTTTTTAGAAAAATTATGAACCCCATCCCCACAAAAAAAATTTAAAATATGTGACTGTTTATGACATATGTTTTCTTTTGAAAATGAAATTCATTATTTATACTGCCAATCAAATATTTTATACTCAATACTTCTTCCATATGTTAAATGTGATTATGTGTTGCACATGAATATTGGAGCTTTATTTTCTAATTATTTTTCGATTTTGTCTTTGTGTGCAGTTGATAGGCCCGCAATTCATTTTGGCTATACAACCATCGCTGGTCGACCAATGGTCACAGGAGACGCATTCAGCGTGGACAGCATTATTCTTAAATATGGCATACATCATGAAAGGTTCAATGGCGGCCGAAGAAAGATTCAAAGTGAAGAAAACTGCCACCTAAAAGCCAATTTCTTTCCATACACCAATTATTTTATAGTTATTTTTATTTTTGTTATTATTATTATTATGATTATTCATATTACTTCTATGATTACTATGTTATATGACAGTTATATTTTCAATATTATTATTAATATTATAATTATTATTATTATTATTATTATTATTATTATTATTATTATTATTAT